TCTTCAGCTCAAGGCTAGCGCTCTACCACTTGAGCCACAGTGCCACTTCCAGCTTTTTCTGCTTATGTGGTGCTGAGGAATCGAACCCAGGGCCTTGTGCATATAAAGCAAGCACTCTATCACTGAGCCACCTTCCCAGCCCCTACTTAATAATTTTTAATGTAACCTTTAGGAAGTATATTTAAGTACACACGGTATTACATTGTAATATCAATCATCTAATTTATCTAATTCTGAAGAAGTTTGAAAACAAACTAGTGGGCTATTTTTATCTCTGATAGTTGGAAAAAATGAACCTCCTTTGAATATTATGTATTAAATTGTTCAACCGAATCATATTTATTCAGTAGTTGACAAGTGCCTGGAAGTTATTGATGGTGGTTGTGTGTGTGTGTGTGTGTGTGTGTGTGTGCGCGCGTGCACCAGTACTGGGGCTTGAACTCAGGGCCTGGGTGCTGTCCCTTGCCTTTTCCATGCTAGTGGCCTGCCACTTGAGCCACAGTTCCAGTTTGGGATTTTGTAGTTAGCTGGAGATGAGTTTCACAGACTTAGCTGCCTTGGCTGTCTTTGGTTTTCAGTCCTCAGACCTCAGCACCCTGAGTAGCTAGGATTACAGTAGCTAGGATTACAGGCATGTGTCACTGGTGTCAGGCTTGACGGTTTTTTTCCTTACTAACTTCATTTATCAGTCGTATCTGCCAGTATTCTTTCACTGTAAGAAAAAAAAAAACTTGACCAATGGTACTTATGAAGAGGTTTATTTTGGTTCAGGATTCAGCCCCTTAGTGTGGGCTGTGTGAGGCTGGCACGTGAGCAAGCATAAACGCAAAATGGTCACATCTCAGTCCGGGATCAGAGAGACTAAGAGTGCAGCTCATGCCCTCCATGACTCGAGGACCTTCCACTAGGCTCCTCATCTTAACGTTTCCCAGCACTTCCCCATAGCTGCATCTTGGGAGACAAGCCTTTACTTCTGGACCTCTGCAGACCATTCAGATGACGGCCAAACCATAGCACGGCTACTCGAAATGATCAGACAACTGGCTATATGTAAACATTAACTTGTTCAAAGCAGCTCATACAAGCAGATGTGGATAAAGTGAAGTATAGAACATGTGTTCCAGTGGAGAGCCAGGGAAGAGTTGTGTTACCAAATGAGATGCAAAAGGCTGTGCTCTCTATACACAAATACAGCGACTAGAGGAAGTTGTATGCAGGGGAGGATTCCAATGGCGTAACTCCTTTTGAACCACCAGGGTACAGCCTAACAACATGTATACTGACAAAATGAATGAGAGTAAGGTTCCAGGAGAACAGATGAATGGAGGGAAGAAGGGTGGGAAACACAGTTGGAATATTTAATGTATAACCAAGCACTGGTGGCTGTCACTTGTTATCCCAGCCACTCAGGAGGCTGAGGTCTGAGGATCCTGGTTCAAAGTCAGCCCGGGCAGGAAAGTCTGTGAGACTCTTATCTCCAGTTAACTACCAGAAAGCTGGCAGTGGCACTCTGGCTCAAAGTAGTAGAGCGCTAGCCTTGAGATGTAAAGCTCAGGGACATTGCCCAGGCCCTGAGTGCAAGACCCATGACCAACCAAAATTACTATAACAATAATATTTAATATGTATATATAAAATCGAGTCAGTTAACTTGAGGGGATGATGATATGAGTGACATCAAACAAGGTGCATCGTACTCATTCACTGACATGTTGAATTCAAATATGATTGTACAACAACTTAAAGATAGTAAAAAAAAAGAAGTGTGTGTGTGTGTGTGTGTGTATGTGTTATGCTAACATTGAAGTTGTAAATTCTAGCTGTGAATTTTTTTTGGCAGCAGGATGCTTTTCAAAAATGAATTGAGATTTCTTACTGCCTTCATGGTTAGTCATTTGTTTTTGACAGTCAGGAAATCATATTGTCTAGACTTTTCTTTCTGCTTTTGAGAAAGCCATTTCTAACTCATATATAAAGTAATGGTAGAAGCCCCCAAACTCAGTTGTTATTTTATTTTATTATATCTCTTGTCTGGAGGTGCAAGTTTTAGAGCCAGACTGTCAAGTTGCTAGTTTGTTCATTAATCCTGTAACCTTGAACACATTTCTTAACTTCTTTGTGCCTCAGTTTCCCCATTTGTAAAATGGAGATCTTACTAGAATTCACCTTACTAGAACTGATTTTGTAGGGTCATTTGTATAGTATAAAATAAGACAAAACATACCTAATGTTTTTATAATGGCATCTAACCTACAGTAGAAATCCCATTATTATTCCCAACTGCAAAACAAGTGACAGAGTTGCTGTGGTATGAAAACATCCTAAGACTCTTGAATAGTTGGAATGAAATGTGAAAAGACATGGAATAGCCAGGTATTGGCGGCTCACACCTGTAATCCTGGCTACTCAGGGGACTGAGATCTGAGGATTGACATTGAAGCTGGTCCAGACAGAAAAGTCCACGAGACTCTTAACTCCAATTAACTGGTGCTGGAAGCGGGGCTGTAGCTCTCGTGCTAGAACATCAGCCTTGAGCCTTCGCACACACGAAACAAAGTCTAATGATTCAGAATCGTGAGAGTTTAATATCTTTTGGGCTATCCAGAGGAAATTATTATTTGTGGGGGAACAGAGAATTAGTCATTCCAAAATGGAACGAATACAGCCTAGCTGTTTCTCACCTTCTCCTGCACTTGCTTTATTGACAGTGAGGACAAAACTTTGGAATCAGCCGTTGTCAAAGTCATCAACCCCGTGGAGCAGAACGATGGTGAGGTGGGGCTACGGGAGCCTTCCTCTTCCCTGGTGCTGAAGGAACTGCTCCGGGAGGCTCCGGAGCTCATCACCGAGCAGCTGGCTCATCTCCTCAGAGGTGAGCGATGGCTCTTTCTATTAAATACTGAGAGGCCTAATGGAGTGGCTCTCGACCTGCTCAAGCAGAAAGAGTGTGATCCATTCTTGGCTTAACAATCCCTTTAAAGACCCCAGGAAGCTTCATCAGAGAGGCAGGGAGTAAAGAGTTTGTTAAAGAGTAGCATTATATTGAATATTAAAAATGTGCATTTAAAAATAGGCAGGGAGGGCTGGTGCTGTTTCACCAGACAAGAATAATAAATGGTCTGCTGCGGTGCTGTTGGAGAGCCGGAGCTGCAACTCGGCCTTTTTAATAGCTTCCACTGGTGATTCTTGCCCTTCGACACTGTGATTGAGGCCAGAATTCCACATTTTACCTTGAGATCTCTCTCAATACGGATACATGCTGCATTTACACAATACTGTTTGGAAGGCAAGGTACGCATCTTTCATCCTCATAAGAGCTAGATCTTTCACAGGCAAGTGTTACCTCCTTTCATTCCCCCTTCTTGGGATGTACTTACTCTCTGGCCTGCCTTGAGCACTGGGGAGACACGGGTCCTATCATCTAATGTTGGAACCCAGGTTTTGCATCCATGGAATCAAACAATCTTGAATTGAAAATATTTTTTTTTAAATGTGTCTGTCCTGGATGTATCCAGACTTTTCTTTCTTGACACTGTTCCCTAAGTAATTCACCACATCAACTATTTACATAGCAGCTCCACTGTCCTAGGTGTTATGAGTCTGCCAGAGACGGCTGGAGGAGCACAGGGCCTTACGCAGGTTACATACGATATGGTGCTGTAGATGGGATGGGCACACCACAGAAGCTGCTTCCTTCGAGAGGTCTACAGATACTGAGGGCCGGCTGTGTGCAGATACTGAGGGCCGGCTGTGTGCAGATACTGAGGGCCGGCTGTCTACAGATACTGAGGGCCGGCTGTGTGCAGATACTGAGGGCCGGCTGTGTGTAGATACTGAGGGCCGGCTGTGTGCAGATACTGAGGGCCGGCTGTGTGCAGATACTGAGGGCCGGCTGTGTACAGATACTGAGGGCCGGCTGTGTGCAAGTACCGAGGGCCAGCTGTGTACAGATACTGAGGGCCGGCTGTGTACAGATACTGAGGGCTGGCTGTGCGCAGATACTGAGGGCCGGCTGTGTGCAGATACTGAGGGCAGGCTGTGTACAGATACTGAGGGCCGGCAGTGTGCAGATACTGAGGGCAGGCTGTGTGCAGATACTGAGGGCCAGCTGTGTACAGATACTGAGGGATGGGTGTGTGCAGATACTGAGGGCTGGCTGTGTACAGATACTGAGGGATGGGTGTGTGCAGATACTGAGGGATGGGTGTGTGCAGATACTGAGGGCCGGCAGTGTGCAGATACTGAGGGCCGGCTGTGTACAGATACTGAGGGCCGGCTGTGTGCCACTGATCTCATTTCCTTCTCCATCATGGGGGTTGTTGGTTTCGATGAGTGGCTCCAGGGAGAAATTGTCAGTGTTCTTGGCCCAGAATCACCATGAAAGTTGTTATTGTCTCATGGGAAACATCGGTTGCTCCCAGAAGTGCTTCACCTGGTGAACTGAAAAGCAGTGAGGAACCAGACTACAGCATTTAGAGAGAAGGAAGACCAGGAGTTTGTTGACTCTGTTCCTGTGTGGAGGCATTCTTGTGTCTCCTCTATCGCTACCACTGGAAGGAAAGAAAAGGTCTGAGGGTTATTTAGTTCCTCTGAAGATTTAAAAACGAACAAACACTGGAAACCTACCTGAATATCTTTCTGTCAAAATGATCGTCTGTAAATCAGCTAACACCTGAGTGAACTGAATTCCTTCCTTTTTATCTTTAGGTAGTTGTACAAGGGAGCTGCCGTTCTATAAAGCAGCGGATGAATCCAGCACATCGTGACACATGTTCCCTCTTCCACATTCTCATCCCTCCCTCCCTACTCACCCCTTCTCTCACTTTTCTTAGTTGTGTAGGATATACACTGAGGTATTTTTTTTACTACATTCCCCCTTCTTTTTCTTTCTATTTTATTTGTAACAGAGCAGAAGGAAGATAAATATTATTGGGATCTCCATTGAGAGGGGTGTAGTGGTAAATGTGTGGAACAGACAAGCCCTATAGAGACAATATTTGGTTTAAATACCTTTCAAACTGAAAGATTTGGTTTGTTACTGAAAAACACACATGGGTATTCAGGAGGAAAAAAGTAGTCAAGGAACACCTCATCATCATGACTTTTTTTATGAACAGGAAAAGAGTAAGAACTTGTAATCGACGGGTACAGACACAACTTAGCTGTAGTGATGTGAGAATTCAGGGAAGCAGAAGGGAGGCAGAGCATTCGGTTTGCAGAGCAGCTGAGAAAGAGAGCTATGGTAAAGTTACTTGGCTTTCTTGACACTGGAAATTTCTCCTGAGGCTGGCCTTGAGGCTACACTGGGAAATTAACAGGATATGAACATCACTTCCTGTTGCTTAAGAACTGGGAAGTGGTGGGGGTGGGGGGGATGAAGATCCTAAACTTGGACCAAAGGTCCCTCAAGACCATTAGCCAAAGAGTATATGAATATATACGTGTGTGTGTGTGTGTGTGTGTGTGTGTGTGTGTGTGTGTGTGTGTATTGAGAGGCAGGACAGAATTAAAGGACGCTGGTGGAAAGCATATAACTTTAAAGAGGTGAGCCTAATGGGGGAAAGTCAAAGCATTGGGGAGCTAAATCCATTTTTTTAGTCTCCTGTATCTTTAGTTCATAAAAGAAAGGAATTGAGTGGAATTTTGCTGTATTCGTTGAATTTAAATTTAGACTTCGTAGCCTCCTGATCTTGTTGAAACACTAAATCTAGGGAAAAAAGTGCTTGCTGCATTCTTCTAAGTAATGTTAGCATCCTTTGGTTTCATAACACAAGTAGTTTACTTTCTAAACACTCTTCTTTATAAAAGAACCTATTTGGGGATACTCTAATCATTTTATTGACACTTTTCTAGAACCTATGTTTATGTATTTTTGTAAGTCTTTAAGTTTTTTAAGAATGCAAAAACTTTTAAGCTTAATTTTGTCACAGGTTACTTTCGGAAATACCTGTTTCCAGATGTCATGAATTAGATATTTATGGCTAAGACTTCAAGAGTCTTCAAAAGTCTCATAAGTTGGCCCTCAGAATATATTATTTTAAACTTTGTACCCTAAAATCTGAATTTGCTATGGGCTAAATTAGTTCTTTTTTTGGTCTACATACCATCTTTGGATGACGTTGTTTATTTCCAAGATTTTTAAATAATATCCCTAGGCTCTGAATTCCAGACTCATCTCCACTACCTAGGTGACTGACTAATTCCCATCCTACCGTGACATGGCCCACGAACCCATATGGCTCTTAGTGACCCATTAAAAGTCTGTGCCCACCACCCAGTCCTAAGAGTTACACTTGATTCTTTTCTTTTCTGGCCTTGAACATTGATCTGCTGGTTATATGCATCAAGAACAAGACTGGATTCCATCTACATTTTCCATAATCACTACAGAATCCAACCCCAGCCACCATTGTGTGTTTGTCTACTGCCTGTCTAACTGCCTGCCTTTCTCCTATTTCTTCCATAATATCTATTGCTTAAAAGGAACCAGAAGGCCTTTGTAGAATGTCAAATTAGGACCTCTCCGTCCGCTTCTCCCAACTTGTCATATTCAGAGTTCAAGCATTCCACTCGTCCAGCTACCTCAGACATCATCTTGTTTCTGGACCTCATCCAGATACAAGGCATCTTTCAAATATTCCAAACTCTTCTCACTCTTAGGGGTTTACACCAGCTGTTCCTTCCCATGGAATGCTTCTTTCTACTTGTCTCTCTGTCTATCTGTCCCTGGGTTTCTCCTGCTCGGATCTCTCCCTGCAGAGTATGCGTTCCATAAACCAGAGACACCGTGACATGTGCACAGGCTCAGCATTGCATTGCTACTGCCTAGAACCATGCCTGCACACAGTAGAGCCTCAAGAAACCCTGTTGTAAAGTGGATTGTGTAAGGGAGTTTCTTTGCTGTCTCATGACTGCATTGGTTTTATGAATATGATGACAGGTTTTGTGGTTGTTGTTGATTGTGGGGCTTGAACTCAGGGCCTGGGTGCTGTCCCAGAGCTTTTTTACTCAAGATGAGCACACTATCACGTTGAGCCACAGCTTTACTTCTGGTTTTCTGGTGGTTAATTGGAGATAAGAGTCTCACAGACTTTCTTAATCCCAGGCTGGCTTTGAACCATGATCCTCAGATCTCAACTTCCTGAGTAGCTAGGATTATAGGTGTGAGCCACCAGTGCCCAGCCATGATGACATTTTAATTTCTCTTCTCTGTCAGCCCATCCTCTGACAGTCTTCATGCCTAGAATTTCAGCGTGGTTCTTTCCAGTAATAACCTCCCCCACTTTTTTAGCTATTAGAAAATCTTGTAAAATTTGTCCTTGTATTCTTCAAGGACTTGTTTAAATTGTCAATTTTTGGTTGTCACTTTGGGTATATAATTTTAGAATTTGTGTGCATTATTTTAAACTTTTGTGGAGCAAAAGTATATCAAATATGTCTATAAAACTGCAAACACACAGATCTCAGTAAATCATTGCAAAGAAAACACCTCTTAAACAGTTACCCAGGTAAAGAAATAGAGCAAGAAGCCTTCCTTGTTCTGTCCCCTCTCCTCCTATTTTAAGGTGACCAACATTCTGGTTCTCATGGAATATACCTTGTTGTGTTTTTTTTTAAAATACTTCAACTACCTCTATGTTTATATCTGTAACTTTCCATGTGGCTTTTGCCTGATTTTGTACCTTCCCCAAATGGAGTCATGGCTCATACTTTCATTGTCCTTAGACTGTGAATAGTAAGCACAGTATTTACTTGCATAGATGATTCTTCCATCATTTAGTCTTCCCTTCCTTTCTTTCCTTCTTTCTTCCGTTCCTGTCCTTCTTGCTTCCTTTCCCTTTCCCTTTCCTTTCCTCCTTTCCTTCCTCCTTTCCCCTTTCCTCTCCTTTCTTCTCCTCTTCTCTCCTCTCCTCTCCTTTCTTTTCTTTTCCGTTCTTCTGAGACCAGGACTCAAACTCTGAATCTGATGATTTCACTCATTGGCTGGCACTCTACCACCTGAGCCAGGCCTCCAATCCTAGGATATGGTCTTAAACTAAAACTTCTAAAAAAGCTAAGTCTCTTGGTGGTCTTTTAGAAGGCTGGACATCAAAATTGTTGAAATTTCAACAAATCAGCAAATACAAATCATGAGCGTCCATCCCCTGTAAGGCCCCATGCTGACTGGACATGGCTTTCTAATTTTTTGTGTAATAAAATGAAGTGCTCATGCAGAAGAGACCACACATTAGTTGAGTTTTTGTTTTTTAGAAATGTCTGTCTTTTGGCTTCTTCTTTCCTTCCACCTGTTTCTGTGATATGGTTCTTTCTCTTCCTTTTACTCCTGTCTATCTCTTTCTCTTCTTATTCCTCCTCTGACATGAAGATTTTTCCACTATTTTCTAACATTTTGCATATCCAAAAGCCACATTATACTGTCTTGTGGCCCAAAGCTGGTGCTTGGTTGTGCCCTGGATTTGTACCAAAAGCAAACAGTTATAGACCCAGCAGGCTGTTCAACCTATATTCTTTTTATTTCCCCAGAGATGTTTACTAGGGTCACTGCCAACTCTAAAATCCATTCAACTGCCGAATCATCATATATTGTGTGTGTGTGTGTGTGTGTGTGTGTGTTTCTAGGAACCATCTGGCAAGGAGATTTCAGCCACCTGATTACCAGGCATGCTTGGATGAAGAGCACATTGGCTCAAATGGCCTTTCCTGTTTGTTTGTGTCTGGTCTTGAAGCTGACAGGAGAGGAAGGCCGAAATAACAGCAATTGTTCTTAGTTTAAGATTAAGTGGGAAAATCACTTAGAAAGCATGCCCTATCCTTTCTATTGGTAATTCTGGTTGACCTTGAATAACGAAGAGTGGCTTGCTATTTTAGTAGCCTGCATTAACTGCTTCGAAGAGATCCTTTTAAGGAGGTCAGTTAGGAAAGGAATAGAGCCAAGTCCCCCTCTCCCCTGCCCAAAGGGTGAGTCACTGTTCTCCAGAATGCTTACAAAGTCCAGAGGGAACTGCGTCTCCTCTTTCAAGCTATCACAGGTGGGGAAAGAAAAGATTATTTCTGTTTTGATCCTTCAACCTCTGAGTCATTTCTCCCACCATATAAAGATGAGCTTTATTTTCACTGAAGACACTTTAAGTTTCTAACTAGATCCATTTGAACAATATACTTATTTGTATACCTTTTCAGATAAAAATGTGAGCTACTGTCCTGTTTTTTTTTTCTCCTTTCTGTCTCCCTCTCTTAGTTACTTGCTCTCTAGTAGTTTTTTTTCCTCCACAAGAAAACAACAACTCCAGATGAACAATAAAGAGGCTTAACTGTCTTCTTTTCTGCTAAGTATTTGTCACATAGAACATGCCATGGTTCTGGTAGATCAGGTTCAGTATTTAATGAGCCAAAATTGCTCTTGGCAAGAGGCCTTTTTTTATCCTCATGCTTTTGAACAAAGAATATTGGGAAGGGATTGTAATAAGATTACATTTTTGTTGCTATTTTATTATAATTGCTTTTCAAAAATGTCCACTGTCAATTCTGTGCCTCTCCTACTACCTTATGATCTAGGACACCTTGGGGTACAAGTTATGGGTTTAAGTATTCCATTGGCTAGGTTTTAAGTCAGCACTCTCTAAGAGATAGGTTTGAATGTGCTGACAGGTATCTATGGCTGCTGTATATTGTGATACTGATGGTGAACTATGCCATTAATGGGCTTCTACTATGAATGCAGAAAAGTTTGCCATATAAATGAGTCTCTTCTAGTAAAAACTACTCAGTATATGGTGAGCATCTTTCTGAGTCAGTTTTCTCTACCAGTATGTATTGTCCTTTTAATGACTGCCAAGTCAGACTTAAACATAGGGCAGTATCAGAAGTCTCTTTTCACTTAGTTATTCCACAGGGTTGCTTAATGCCACCTTTTTAAAGATTAATTTTAAATGTTGCCTTTCCTTTTTAACATATTTTGACAATAAGATCCCCTATCAAAGAAACACAGATTATTAGTTCAGCGTAACCTCCGGCGGAGTCCTGTCAGAGGCAGTTTTTAAAGTGCAGTGCTCCAGCCAGGTCTGCTACCGTGAGCTGTGGGCTGGTTGCTTGATGGCCTGTGCTGCTCTTCTCATTGGTTGAGCTGCCACCCAGGGCATTGTGGGAAGAAGTGTTTGAGCAGGAACTCACAGCATTATGGGAAAAAGAAGCATTTGAGCAGGAGCCTGAGGTATTATGAGAACAAGAAACGTCCTGATGGGCCACATGCTAGCTGCCACATATTCTGTCCGTCATTTTTTATCCCTATCCACATAACTGTTCCCTGTTTCTTTCCCACAAATCCATTCGCATCTTCTGGTTTATTATCTAGGTAGGACCCACGTTCCAAATAGTGTGAGAAGCAACCATCACAGGAAATCATTATCCAAAATATCAGGTGAAAGTCCACCAAATACTCAAAATGAAGCAAAATTATAACATTCCAGATTATGGGGGCTTGCTCGGTTCTCTAGTTTTGTCTCAAATACAGTCTTTACAAAGGGTGTGCCAAAGGACTTGACAGTTAGTAATTCTACCACTGAATTTCCACCCTAAAGACTGTTGGTGTCTCAATCAGAGGCACCAACCAAGTCCGAGTGGCGTCTCTGAATGGCTCAGTCTTCCTCATAACATTTCCCAATTCCATCCACACTTGCTGGCTCCAGTGAATAGATATCAGGAGAATGACCCTTGGCAAACTTGGACTTGCTGTAGTAGGTCAGTGTCAAGGTTGTTACGTGGGTAACTGAGGGGCAGTGGGTTTCCTAGCAGCAGGTGATTACAGAGCTACCTTAAGTGTTCAAACACTGAGTTTGTCTTCCCAACCATGGACACTCTTGCCTAACTGGGATGTTGTCTTTGAGGTGTGTTCTTGTAAACAGTATACCGTTACTATTGCTTCTAAAATTTGTCTTGTCTTTGTCTTGTGCAGTACACACCTATGTGATATACTCTGGGGAAACCCCTTTGAATGATTAAGATGCAGTTCTCGGGGTGGGGGAGGAGTTGGGGAGGTTGGGAGGGAAGGGACAGTGGGGGAACAACAGGGAAGGGACAGTGGGGGAACAACAGGGAAGGGACAGTGGGGGAACAACAGGGAAGGGACAGTGGGGGAACAACAGGGAAGGGGTAACAATGTTCGACAAGAAATGCACTCATTACCTTACTCATGTAACTGTAACCCCTCTGTACACCATCTTTACAATAAAAAATGAATATTAGAAAGGTGAAATGAGCTGGGTGCTGGTGACTCATGCCTGTCATCCTAGCTACTCAGGAGGCTGAGATCCGATCCGAGAATCATCGTTCAAAGCCAGCCCGGGCAGGAAAGTCCTAGTCCGTGAGACTCTTATCTCCAGTAAACTGTCAGAAAACCGGAAGTGGTGCTGTGGCTTAGGTGGTAGAGTGCTAGCCTTGAGCTGAAGAGCTGAGGGACAGCGCCCAGGCCCAGAGTTCAAGCCCCACAACTGACAAAAAAAGAAAGAAAGAAAGGAGGGAAGGAAGGAAGGAAGGAAAGAAGGAAGGAAAAAGAAAAGAAGAAGAAAGGTGAAATGTGTCCTTTCTGGGAAATGTGTACTAGTGGGAGGGGAGAGGGCAAGTGGAAAGGAAAAGACAGTAAATGTGGTCATGTCGCTTTCATGTACATAAGTGAAATGACAGCTGTGAAGCACGTTGAGATTGGTTTGAACATGGTGGGTGGGAGAGCTGAGGAAGGGTGGCGGGTGGGAATGCGGCTGACTGCGGTATACTGAATGCATGTGTGACCATGCCAAAATGCCACACTGTTGATGCTAATACAGACAGGGCGATGAGCCAGTGGCTCATGCCTATAATCCTAGCTACTCTGGAGTCTGAAATCTGAAGATCACAGGAAAGTCTGTGAGACTCTTACCTCCAGTTAACCACCAAAAAGCCATTAGTAGAGCTAGGCCCTCAAGTGGCAGAGTGCTTGCCTCGAGCAAAGAAGCTCAGGGACAGCTCCCAGGACCAGTTCAAAAACAAGCAACACCCTGGACAGTGGAAACAAGCACATAATAATTCCTTAAGTTCATGGGCCCATCAGGGCAGGTGTCAGACTACAAATTGGGACAGGAGGCTGAAAAGGGGCGAGGAAAATAGCTCTAATCAAAGCCTGACGGTAGTAAAGAGCCGTATACTTGTACTAGAGACAGAAAACATTTAAGAGCAATGTCTAAAATGGATGCATGCCAGTTAAAAGTCAATATATTCTCTGGATTAAAATATATATATAACGCTAGCCGGGCGCCGGTGGCTCATGCCTATAATCCTCGCTACTCAGGAGGCCTGAGATCTTGAGGATCACAGTTTGAAGCTGGCCCTGGGAAGGAAAGCCTGTGCCCCTCTAATTTCCAAGTAACCAGCAAAATGCCAGCAGTGGAGAGCACCGGTCTTGAACCAAAAAGTTACAGGGCAGTATGACGGCCTGGGTTTCAGCCTTAATACGCACACAAAAACAATAATTATGACTCCTTGAAAAAGTCACTGAAACAGGTGATGATCCACTTTTCTGTGACTGTGGGTGGGAGGATCACCGTCTATCCAAGCTTAGAGAAAACTGTGAGGCGCCATCCAAGCCCACAAACAAAAATCGTAGAGAATTGTTTTCCTACCTCTGTCCTGGGTGGCAGGCATGCTCAGGGCCATTTTGATTGCATCTTTCAGGCAGCATCCTTTTCAAGTGGATGACTATGGATCCAAATCAGGTCTCTGAGAAGCAGGAGGAGATCCTTTCCATCTTGGAAGAACAATTTCCCAACTTGCCACCACGAGAGGACATCATTAGTGTCCTGCAGGAGACCCAGTTCAGTGCTCAAGGTGAGTGACCCGGGCAGGGCATAGTGGCGCATGCCTGTAATCTCACCCCTCTGGAACCTGGGCTACCTAGGAGACCTTATCTCAAAACGAACCCTGGTGGTGTGTGCATAGCGTTGTCAGGCCTGCCTGGAAGATGAACTGGAGGAGGCGCTGACTTTCTTCCTTCTTGCTGTGCTTGGTGAAAGATTATTCGGGCTTATGTTGTTGGCTCACCTGGTACCGCTAGGCCTTTGTAAGGGACTGTGTGTAAAGTGCTACTTCAGGGCCATCCCACGGGAGAGCTGTGTGGCCTGCAGGGACCTGCTGACTCTGGCTCCCACGGTCAGTGCTTAACGCTGGTATATTTTGTGAGTTGGCTGATACTGGGAAAGCAGCCTGAGATCAGCCATCGTAGGAACAATCATGCCACGGAGTTTGACAAATACTACAAAGAACTTCTTTTTTGGTCGGTCATAGGGCTTGAACTCTGGGCTTGGGAACTGTCCCTGCGCTCTTCAGCTCAAGGCCAGCGCTCTACCACTTGAGCCACATCGCCACTTCCGGTTTTCTAATGGTTTATTGCAGATAAGAGTCTCTCAGACTTTCCTGCCCAGGCTGGTTTTGAACCTCGATCCTCAGATCTCAGCCTCCTGAGTAGCTAGGATGACAGGCGTGAGCCATCGGCGCCCGGCTACAAAGAAGCTTTTGCTGCTGGCTCTTAGACATTAGCCAGCTGGCTTCTAGTCCAGGGAAAGCCTCATTTCCCTAGGTGCTGGGGGTGGACTGTCAGGTTGGGCAATGGAGATGGGGGTTGGGAGTCATCTGGGAGCAGCACTGGCAGCTGTATCTTCAGTGTGGATGCAGGTGTGTGCAAGGTGTGCAATGACATCTATTCTGTCATCCGTCTCTAAAACGACTGGCCTTTCCGTGTCACAGCTGATTCCATGAGTCGCTTAACCTGCAGTAGGAAAATGTGTGGCCTTCGATCTTCATTGGAGAATTTTGGCCAGATGATTACAACTGTGTGTGTGTTCTGGATAATTTAGTCCTTCCAGATTATTTCTAGCATCAATTACGGAATTCAATAGTCATTACTGCTATAGCCTGCCAATTCAATTATAATAGTTTTAGGGGCCACATTTATAAAGTATATATTCTTTTTGTGACCATCCTGAGACTTAAACCTGGGCCTAGGCTCTGTCTTTGACCTTCTTTGCTCAAGGCTAGTGCCTGCCACTTGACCCACAGCTCCACTTGTGGCTTTTTTGGTGCTTAATAGGATATAAGACTCTTGTAGACTTTCCTGCCTGGTCTCGCTTCAAATCACAATCCTCAGATTTCAGCCTCCTGAGTAGCTATACTGTAGATGTGAGCCACCAGTACCCAGCTATGAAGTATATTCTCAGTAAAACTGTGCTAGAAATTACAAAATTACAGGGGTTAGCCTAAATGTACCCTGAAAACAAATTTTGGTCTTGATTGATATTATCTGAGTATCTAGCTTTTCTTTAGCTTTCCTAACTCCACCCATTCCTTTCCTATCTGGGTCTCTGGTGACTGCAGCTGATTATTTTATCTTTTGGATGCTTTTTTTTTTTTTGGAGGTACAGGGGCTTGAACTCAAGGTCTTCCTCTTGTTAAGTGCTGGGTTCTTTTTGAAGTATTTTTACCTACTTGACAGTACTGGGGCTTGAACTCAGGCCAGCCTGCCCGAGGGGCACCCTACCGCTCGAGCCATAGCTCAAGCCTCATCTTCTGAGTTCTGGTGGCCCTAGTTTCTAGTTGGGTTTGAGCCAATGGGAGAGTCAGACACACGCGGAAATGAGAGAGGGGGAAGAGAAGAAAGCTGTGCAGTTGTATTCTTGATTTCTTACTTATTGATGTCTTACTTTAGTCTTACTGCAGTCTTCTGGCCCACATCTTTTCTGCATTCCCAGATTTCTCTTTCCTTTCTTTTCTTGTCCCTCCCTAGTCTGTATTCCTCATTTTTCTTCTTTTTTTGCGCTGGTACTGGGGCTTAGGCACTGTCCCTTAGCTTCTTCACTCAAGGCTGGCTCTCTACCATTGAAGCCACAACTCCACTTCTGGCTTTTTGTTGGTTAGTTGGAGATAAGAGTTCCATGGAGTTTCCTGCCTGGGCCTTGATCCTCAGATCTTGGCTTCCTGAGTAGTGAGGATCACAGGTGTGAGCCAGCAGCACCTTGCTCCTATTGTCTATCTCCTCTTGTTTAGTTTGCCCTCATCCCTCTAATGAAATGTTCTGACAGTCATGAGCCTTCTTTTGCATCATGAGAGGTAAATTTTCTCATGGAGAGTCTCAGCTACTGTAAATGTGATCATCATTGCCAGTGTGGGTTTATTGATAAAAATTATACTAGAGGTATTGACATTAATAAAATGAGTTGTTCAGATAACCTGTTGATGGCACAAAATTTGTTCTCTAAGCCTAAAATAACATTTTCCCCTATTGTTCACAGGTTTAAGTATTGAACAAATACTGTTGAAAGATCTAAAGGAACTGACAGATGGAGAAATCAAGGTGGCCATTAGCACTGTGAACTTGACCCTGGAGGTAAGGCCGTGCACCCACGTCCAACTTTCTTCTCTGCACGTGTACTAGTCTTTCGCTACGTTTCTTTCTTTGTGACAGATTTGACCTGGAGCACAGGTTATGATTGTTATGCTAAGAGAATGAAAACAACCAAACCTTGATTCTCAAGATGAGAGTTACTTCATTCACCTCAGTACACTAAAATCGAAAATGCGAACACCCACATGTGTATTTCATCTCTTGTAACAGTAGTCTTCATGTGTGTGCTTAGGTTCACGTCTGTATTTTTCTCCGTACAAATAAGTTTTCTTTTGGATTGTGCAAGTTGTTGTGGGCTCTCTTGCTGGTAATCCATGAAGAGAACCCAAGTAATGGTAAGGAACCACCTTCCAAGCTGTTCAACGAATGACTCGCAGTGGGACTCGCCTTGGTAAATTATCTCTGTTGACTTCGGGGGTTTGCGATGACTGGTGTTCATCTTAATTAACCCAACTAATGGGAATTACAGTTTATAGAAGTGCATTTGTGTATCTGCACAAGGCTACATATTGTTTACTACTGTAGCTTCCCAGTCTGGGAGGGAGGCAAGAAGCTCATGGGTTGAGTGTAGGGAGATACAGTTTGCTGTATTGGAATTTGTCTCGAGAGTAATGCAATGCTGTAATGCATTTTTCTGTCTTGGGTCGGCAACTTATCCATGGGTGTCTTTCTTTGGGATGACCGACAGGGCTATTGGCATCAACACCTCAGAAAACCCAAGAACAAGGTCTCATTGTGAATTTATTCCCAGTTGGATCAACCCTGTAATTCATCTACATGCGGAGCCGGACACAGTGCACAGGGCCTCAGTTCCTGGTGCTCATCTTCATTGTATGTAGTTGGTAGATTGACTCAACAGTTTCTATGGACTTTCAGATTGGTAAATGCTCCATATAATTAGTGGTTGGTGGGAATCAGTACAAGAGATTCATGCAATTTGGGATGTAGTAACTAGATAATCACCTTCAATTAGAAATCTGCTTTGTGTCTAGAAACTCATGGAAACATGCATCTTGCAAGGGTCAGTAGCTCTGAGAATCATTTCTACTAGTTCAAGCCTTAGGGTTTTCTTTTTCTTCCCCCCCTCCCTTGTCCCCCTTCATTTAATGGCATCTTATTAGACTTTAAATGCCTTGTTTGGAATTCCTTTCTAAATTAACAGAGAACATCTTGTAATTGCTTAGGAAACTGTCTGTAGTTATCAAATGATTTTAAAGCTATTCATATTATAGGCTTATTGTAGCCTTAATGTACCTTCATTTATATTATGAGGGTTTACAAATGACTTTGTCAGACATGTTAAGCAGTAAATGTTTATTCGGCAGAATCGGTGATAAAATGATCATCTTCATCTTGACAGCAATTTACGTAGAGGTCCAGTAATTAATCAGGTGATTAAGTATGTGTCTGGAAGAGTTCAGGGAAGAGAAAGGACATTTATATATGTACAGAGGGTAGAGTTTAATCAGATGGAGGAGAAATATCCATCTTTGCATAGTAGAGGTGTCAAAGGTGACTGAACATATGGGAAGTATTCTGTAATAATAGTGTACATCTTTTTTGAAGTAGAAAATACATACTATTTATCAAGTCTGTCCATTGGGGAAAACATCCACACGTTAGAGGCAGAGTTTGCTTTTCTCCCCAGATTATCCTGTGGTGCAGTGGGGTTTTTCCCAACCCCTACTCATGTTTGATTATATCCCAGCATTCCTTTCTCAGTCCTATTTACCTTACTTAAAAAAATAAATAATAGCTGGGCACCAGTGTCTCACACCTGTGATCCTAGCTACTCAGGAGGCCAGGATCTGAGGATCATGGTTCAAAGCCAGCCCAGGCAGATTAGTCACCATAAGGCTCTTATCTCCAATTAACCACTCAGAAACTCGAAGTGATACTGTGGCTCAAGTGGTAGAGTGCTTTCCCTGAACACAGAGGCTCAGGGACAGCACCCAGGCCCTGAATTCAAGCCCCACAACTCACTAATAATAATAATCATAATAACAACAACAACAACAATAATAATTTGTGTGTTTTCAGTTATACAATTGTTCTTTCAATCTAGATTTGTGTGTGTGTGTGTGTGTGTGTGTGTGTGTGCGCACGTGTTTGTGGGGCTTGAACTCCAGGCCTGGGCACTGTCCTTGAACTCCCTTGCTCAAGGCTAGTATTCTTCCATTTTGAGCCACAGTTCCACTTCTGGTTAGGTAATGGTTAATTGGAGACTTTCCTGCCTGGGCTGGAACTGTGATTCTCAGATCTCTGCCTCTTGAGTCGTTAATATTACAGGCATGAGCCACCAGTGTCTGGCCAATCTAGATTTATTCTTAAAGAGATCTTCATAGTGCCTATGATTTTCTTAGTCTTGCTGTTCTCCAAAGAAGGTAGGGTGAGCCTACATATTTCATGCTGACCCTTAGAAATTCTCCATTTGTATCCAGGGGTGGTGGCACATACTTGGGATCCTAGCATGTGGAGGGCTGAGGCAGGATTGTGAGTTCGAGGCCAGAATGGGTCACCTGGTGAGAAGACCCTAGTTAAAAAAAACAAGCAATGAACAAATAAAAAAGGACACAAAGAAATTTTGCAGGTTTTACTACCAGTCTCTGAACTTATACAAAATTTGGTCTTGGTGACCCATGTAGGTCTTAAATCTCCACTCTGTCTTCTACTAAGTTGGAACTTTTTTTTTTTTTTTGGGTCCGGTCGTGGGGCCTGAACTCTGGGCCTGGGCGCTGTCCCTCAGTTCTTCAGCTCAAGGCTAGCGCTCTACCACTTGAGCCACAGCACCACTTCCGGCTTTTTTTCTTTTTGCTTATGTGGTGCTGAGAAATCGAACCCAGAACCTCGAGCATGCAAGGCAAGCGCTCTACCACTGAGCCACCTTCCCAGCCCCAAGTTGGAACTTTTTTTGTATATTGAATCATAATTAAACAATATCTCAAGTTAACTGAAGGGAACGGTGCTATCATTTTCGTTGGCCTTTCTTCGGTTTTCTGACACCAAAATGGGCACCTAGCAGATGCTTAGTAAATACATAGTGATATTTTCAGCGTGCCCCTCTGGGAACTGATCTTTCCATTTCCTTTTGAACTCAAATAACTCATGACTACCTAGAGAGCTAGGGCAGTATAATCTGACCCCTTCCAGCCGCTTCCGTTCAGACAGCTTCCACCAGAAGCTAACGTTGGATGGAGTTTTAAGAAATGACCCACGTGTTTTCTGGGTAGTACCGCTCATCCGATGTCCAAAAAAAGTGGAGTGGGCAAAATGTTCAGCTGTTGAAACTGAAGGTACTGTCACGTATCAGAGGAAAAAGGAAAGCGAATTCCTTCTCTGTTCAATCTTGTGTGTGTCATGGCCCTTATTTGCCTGATGGTCCAATTAACTCTCTTGCACGGAAAAATTCAGAAGCTTAGAAAGATGTGTCTTCTGTGCTACACACCGCATACTGGAAAGAACCACGCCGTACATGATGATGATGATGATGATGATGATGATGATGACAACCACCACCACCATGAAGAAGCTGGGCGTTTCTATATCTGAGGTCAGAGTGGATGAGACTTGGGGGACGAATGGGGGGGAGCAAAGGCCGTATGTGAAGTCAAAGGGGTACCAAGAAGGCTGTGGGAAGCTGGGACTAAGGAGAGGACACTGCAACCTCCTGTCACATGGTGTCCAGGCCACGGCAAGTCTGACGACAGCACACACGTCGCGTGCAAATGCACTTCGCATGGCATTGTCTATTGCATTGCCTGAGCATCATGGCGTCAGTCTTTGTGCCCTTTTTATTCACTGCTGGTTGATTTGACTCTCACGGACAGCGAAGCACAACTGGACACATTTGTCATTCCACCTTTGCCAGTAGAGCTGGTAGTGATTGCATTTTTGTTTTTTTTTTTTTGGTCAGTCGTGTGGCTTGAACTCGGGTCTGGGCACTGTCTCGGGGCTCTTTTGCACAAGGCTAGTGCTCTGCCACTTTAAGCCACAGCTCTACCTCCAGCTTTAAAGTGGTTAATTGCAGATAGGAGTCTCCCAGACTTTTCCTTCAAGCCTCAATCCTCAGATCTCAGCCTCCTGAGTAGCTAGGAATGCCCAGCCCAGGATTGTACTTTTTAGGTCTCATTTACGCCTTGGTAGAGCAGTACACTAAGATATTGAGAAGAAAGGACAGGTCCTCACATTCTAATATCATGCCAATGAACAAACAATCGAGGGAGCTGGTGGCAGCGCCACATTAGTGGCTCTTTGGCTGACCCCAATGTCATTATGCCTCCTTTAAGCAGCCCTCAAGACTACACCACTGATGTCACTACTCAGGAAGGATGATCTGGAAGCCTGTCTTGATCATGTGATCAGTGTGGTCCTGCTCTTATTCTTACATAGGTACTGCATTCTTTTACTGAGGTTGCCAAATGAAGAATTACCAGAAATGTATTTTTGCCTGTGGTCTAAGATGAAGATGTCGCAAGTTTCCTTCCTTCTGAGGGGTGTGAGATTGTGGCTCATACAAGTGTCACCTCCGCCTCTGCCTTCATCTTCAGCCTTTTTTTTTAAATCTCTGTGTGCATGTCTGTGCCCAAACCCCTGCCATTATTAGAAACATCAGTCGGCCTCCATAAAGGCCTACCTAATGATCTCAATTTATTACATCAGCAGCAGTTCTATTTCCTATTCTAAGGTGCTAATAGGTAAGATTTCAGCATATGAAAGCTAGGTGCCAGTGACTCATACCTGTCATCCTAGCTACTCAGGAGGCTGAGATCTGAGGATCACGGTTAGAAGTCAGCCTGGGCAGGAAAGTCTTTGAGACTCTGATCTCCAGTTAAGCACCAATAAACAAAAGCAAAACAAAACGAAACAAAAACCAGAAGGGGAGCCGTGGTTCAGGAGGTGGTAGAGCACTAGCCTTGAGCAGAAAAGAAGATCAGGGACAGTACCCTGTACACACACACACACACACACACACACACACATAC